TAATCAGGAACAACTAAGTTTTTAGTAAAAGCCCTGGTTCAGACCATGTGCAAGTCTACATCTATTCTTACACTCGCCACCCTATTTTTTAACTTGATGCCTATCTTTGGTGTAGACAAGGTCCAGGATACATCTTTCAAAACCTGCTCCTGAGCTTTCCTCAGGAAGGAGAAACTTTTCTGCATGCTGCTCCCAATAACCTTCAGCATTCCTTCCCACCTCAGGGGCTGCAAAACTCTTCTACATGAAAGAAAAAGCCAAATGTGTTAGACCAGCAAAGTAGTTTGCAACGGGCCAGCCTGCCTGCTTGCTTGCTTTCACAGGGCTTGTACTAAACAGCTGCCATTAGCCCTCCACTTTTATCAGCATTAATTCACTGAGTCCAATTAAAATTATGCACTCTTGGGAAAGCCCTGATTTAGCAAGGGGGACACACAACATAAATTTAATCTTATTGCAAATCAGCAGAAATTTTACAGAGCATATATAAATGTGGATCTTTACATGTCTGGCACATCTTTAAAGGTAAATCGTCCTACAGATTTATTTTCTTAAAAAAACTTCTATGTGGTAAAAATTCACTCTTTTCAGCATTTGAAGTCTGTTGAAATAGTTTCTTAAATGTTTTCACACAGTACTTAGGTTCCACCTAGTGGTTTTCAGCAGTAATAAACAGAAGACCAGACAGGCATTTTATTGCCTAAATGCTTAAGTTTCAAAATCTGTGTGTTTACTTGCAGAAGATAGACAGAGTCTTCTTTAAACAGATAATTTATCTTGCCATGTCCCTAAAAATTCCCTTGGTCCTCTGACAGGTGTTTTCCAGCTACAGCTGCTCTAGTTCAAACATCTAAAGCAAAAGGGTATTAAATTCAACAAAATCTCATTCCTATGCAAACAAGACTGAGAGAATGGGCTGGCTAAGAGCATCAGCAGTTTGCAGGCAGGAGCTTTGTGGTGCTGCTGCTCCTGCTAAATAAAGCAGCTGTTGTGTCCCTCCCCAGCCAGGTCTCAGCATCTGAGCACCAGCAGCACTGAGTTGATACCAAACTGTCCAGCCCAGCAAGATGTGTCTCACTTAACTGCTGACATTTTCAGCATTAACTCCCTTCACAGTGAACTGAGGAACAAGGATTTCTAGACCATTCAGATAACTTATCTTAGAGGTGTACCTTAAGGTGAGATTAATTGCACTTTTTAAGTGTCTTATTTCCTCATCTCCCTTACAAAGAGAAGCTAGAGCTTGATACCTCCATCACACATCTAGAATCCCACCCAGAGTATCTAAATAGGACTGTCTGCTACACAGCATTTGAAGTGTAGCCCACCTTGCCATGAACTATAAGCAGACAGCAAAAGGAGTCTGGAAGCAGGGCTACCACTGCAGTTACAGACTTTGCACCTAGATTTTTTAAAAATACAGTGACAGGTAGCCATACTACCACAAAAATAATTGAATTCAATCCTGTTCTGGAGTATGCCTCACCAGGCTGCTCAACTCTGTGAGACTGATGAAGGTAGGTTTGTCTTACAATAGGAAAAGTGTAAGACAGTTCTGCACCTGCCTAGTTTAAAGCTACAAACCAAACTATGCTTATAATTTCAGTTCCTCAGGACATTATCAGAACACTCACCATGGACATTTTAGCCTTCTTTAGAAGAGCTTTACCAACTCTATAGAGTTGCTATCTTCAAAGGGAAGTTAAAAAAAAAACCATCAAAGAAATGTGAAGCTTCACAAATTTGTCAGCTGTCACATTAGAGGTCAAAAGCAGATATTTTAAAGTAATTTTAGTGTCTTACATAAACAACAAGACAGAGTTCACCAGAACTGGTCTCATTTGTCTGCAGAGATCATATCCATTTAAAGGGAAGGTGAAACAAAACCAAAAAAAAAAAAAGAAAAGAAAAGAAAAAAAGGAAGTTGACCCAGTTTATGATTTGTGGAGTGTGGGATGGATAAAAGATCTTTAATTCCTTAATGCAGCTTTTTCTGTCTTTTCTCATTTCAAGGAGCTTTGCTTTTGGTCATAGTCAGTTTGACACTTAACACCCAGCAAATCACGTCTGCTTTTCTAGAACGTGACTCCAGCAGGCAGCAGAACTGCTCAGATTTATTACTCCACAGTGCTGTCTCTCTGTTTCCTCTCCACTGAGTTTACCTTTTCACCTTCACCTAAATTTTAACAGGGGAGAGCTGCATGCAGTGTTGTCCCAAAAGCAGGGTCTGTTACCAGTGTGCAAGAAGCCAATCCACACACAGAGTGGAGATACTTGCTTTAATATCCAGTTCTGCACAAAAAAGGGAGCAGGGTGGTTATTCCACACAGCAAGCTCAGCTTCCTGAAACACAAGTGCTACTTTAATACCTGAAAAAGTGAGAAAGAACTTAATCTCTGACATTATTCCATCATTCACACACAATTGGTCACTAATCTCTCGCTTCCATTTGAAGTGTCAATGCTCGGGAATTTCACTGCACATGCTCAGAGTAAGGGGCTTGTTGTCAGTAGGGGTCCCTCCAGCCTGTCAGTGTGTATCTTAGTATGCTAATGGATCATTAATATATTAATATGGTGATTTCAATTATTCAACGTGGTTTCCCCCAGTGCTCAAGGCTGTAACCCAGATAAGCTGTGGGCAGTGCTCCTTTCCATCCCTTCCACCTGCCCAGCAGGTGTCCTGCAGGCCTGTCTCAAGGCTGGGCTAGTGACCTCTTGGGAGTGTTTTTCTCTTAATTGGAATCTGGTTTTGTCGAATTCTCACTGTTTCACTGTTATCTAGGCCCTGTTTTTATTCTGCGTGTCCCTTATGTTCTCTTTTATGTGGGTTTTTTTTCCCAAATGTGATTTTCCCCCAAATTTTACTTATTTCAATGAATAACTGACATCAGCGACTGGCTCTTTACTGCAGAGGAAAAAGGAGAAAACCTTCAGTAGTTTCAAACCTCCTGACTCAGTAAAACTGAAGGGGGAAACCAAGGCGGGCCGGGCGCTCCCGGGGTCCCGCCGGGCGGGGATGCAGCACAGGGCGCGTCCACAGCAGCCTTACTGATAGGTGGCTCCATAGCTCAGTGGTTAGAGCACTGGTCTTGTAAACCAGGGGTCGCGAGTTCGATCCTCGCTGGGGCCTTCTCGGCTTTTCTGGACTTTTTTCTTTTCCTTTCCGGGAGTTCCGCTCCGCAAGTTTAATTTCACAGTCTGGAAGACAACTACTCTTAAAATGTACTTTCCACTGCATTTCAGTTAAAGGACAAACACATCTACAAGAGAGGAGGGGTGATGTCTGTTTCCTACTATTAGATAAAAGATGCAAGTCCTGAAGGCTGGAGGCACTTGGGTTTATTATTTTACAGAGATACCCAGCCAAATTGTACCAGTGAATGTCCATCAGAGAGACTCTCGTAACTACTTATGTCAGAAAAGGGCATCAGAGCAGAATTCACCAAGAGAGTTAATATTAGGAGGCTGTTGCAGTTGAATAACATCTATATAGAGACAGCTAACACTGACAGTGGAGGCACACGTGGGAGCACTGGCATAACAAGTCAGCTGATTATTTGGTCATTATTCAAAACATTTGTTTCACCATTTTAGGAGTGACCTGCTTATTCTGGGACATCTCTCAGCTTCAAAAGCTGCTTCTTAATCTACTCTCCTTCTTCCTCTTCTCCAGTTTTTCCTAGTGCTGCTTTCTTTGGAAGAAGTTTCTTGCTTCTGGTTAGGTGGGAGCTCTTTAGTTTTTGGCAAAGGTGGTATTGGTGTAGCTGTGGAAATACGTGCAATCTTCTCTTCCTGCTTTGGCTTGTGAGGTTTTGCCTCAGCTTTGTTCTTCTGTCTTCTTTTATCAGACAGAGCTGTTTTCACTGTTGATGCTTTTATTTTCATGGATAGGGTCTTTTTTGCTTTCTCAGAAGAAACTGTTGGGATGGCTGCAGTGGGGGTAGAAGAATTTTTCGGAGGCTGGGTTGTTGAAGGTGCATTAAGCAGCTCAAGGACAGTCTCTGTGAAAAGTAATTTAATATGGTTCAGCAAACCTACTTTAAGGCAAAAGATTAATTCAGAGATATCACTGATAGAAACCCTTATTAGAGATACTGCTGATTTTCTGAAAGAAACAATACACCTTATATAAACCTCTTCCATTAAAAGAGCCTTGGGTTTTGGAAATAAAATTTGCTTAATTTTAGAAATGGTGAATATATATTTAAAGAAAAAAATCCAGACAGAACATGATGGGAAGTTGCACACTTCTTTAGCAGACTTAATAATACCAATTTTCCATGTTACACTAATATCTGGACATCCCAGATGAGATAATCTGAACTTGCTAAACACTGTTTCTACTCAATAACAGGATGTAACCCCTGCCCCAGCTGCATGAAACCTAGGACAGAAAAAGGCCAGGAGAAAGAAAGATTGACTCCCCTAGATTTACAGAGAAAGGATTATTTGACTCAAGGGGCTTGTCACAGAGCGTGGGATGGGCACCCATAACTTCCCAGGCCAAATCCAATGCCTGAATCAAAGCCATCAGGTCACTTGTAATGGGCGTTTGCACTATTAATAGGCAATGCTTAGAAAATTAAATAACAAATCAAAAAAATAAACAGAGACTGGGTTTAAGAAAAGGCATGGTACCTAGCAGATGACAGAAGCACACATTAAACACGATAATCTAACTTCCAGATTGCCCCTGCTCAATGCTTTTGTTTTTATGGTTGCTAAGTATTTCAGTCTCACGCCTGTAAGATGGTTATATGTTTTCCTTCCCAGTAAAACTAAACCTTAACAACTTATTTGCACATGGAACAAATGGTATCTGTTTACTCTTTGCTTTCAACAAACAGGCTTGTATTTGCACTTCCCTGGTGGAACTGTCCTTGAAAAACAGAAAGCCATATGCAGATATCTGAGAGACTGTTAAGAAAACTTATTCCAGAGACATATAAATTCTCCATTGTTGTTTGCCTCTGCTGGAAGAGGCATGAAAAGACTTCAGGTACCTTGAGGGCAACATAGGTGGGATTTAATAATCTAACTCAGGCTGCAAACCATAAAATACCTGTCTAAACAGCAATTACAGCCGGAAGGCTGTGGTTTCTCTATCACCATCTGGTCAGCTTTCTGCCATCAGGCAGTCTGAACTGTCTTTTGTGGAGAATAGCCATGGGAAAAGAAAAAGGGCCTCCTCTATCTGTAAAGAAGTAGACAAAACAATATAAGAGGAGCTAAAGGCCAGGGCTGGCTGTGAGCAGCACTGTGAATGTTGACAAAAATCAGAAGGCTGTTTATCGTGTTTGGTGTGTGACTGGCTGCATCCTGGGAGCCCAAGGTCTGTGCATGTGCCAAGGAGCAGGTGTGAGTGCTGGTTACACTCAGTGTACCTGGTTGCTTATTCTCAGTTCCCACTGTAAAAATATATAAGGGAGCATTTTCTCATGATAAGCGATTCCATTGCTTCTCACCCCGTAGTCTGTGTCTTCACCACCACAGTCATTACCCAACACGGGTAGCTGGTATGTTTGTGTGGGGTGCTAGCCAGCATTGTAGCCCACCACTGAATTCAAGGGTGCTGAATTGGTGTGTTCAGGTATACATCCTGCTGCTGGAGGCACAGCACAGCACTATTTCTACAAGCCTGGTCAATACTTCTACAAGTCTGGTTGAACTTTAGACTATAAGTCACTTTGGGTTGTCCTCACCAATACTAGCTCCTGCATCCCACCTTGAAGTGGAGGAGTCTCATTCGTGCACATAAGGGTTATCAGTGGCAGTGCTTTCCATTTGCTCCTGGTGCAGCACAAGGGTCTCTGTACCTGCAGGAGAATATTCCCACACAGTCCCATGGAAGTTAGTCGAACCTTCCAAGGGTGCTGCTTCAGACAGAACATAGTGCTGCAGCAAGAGGGGTGAGAAAGGGAAGGACTAGGCAAGGAGGAAGGAAGCTACAACTGCAAAGAAGACATATCTGCATTCCTCTCCCTCTGTTCCCTGACAACTTCCCCACAGTACAAAAGCACCCCAATAAAAGCACATTTCCCCTGAGGTAAAGCTGTCACATTAAGTGACAGGAAGGCAGTACAAAGAAGAGAAACAGACTTGTGTTTTCTGTTCCCCACGAAGGAAACTGCTGTAGGACAACTAAGAACAGGCTATTTCAGTCTGGCATGCTTGACAGCATGGAGCAAAGCTTGACCTAAGGCATCACATTTTCTTGTGATTAGCATTCTCCTTCAGACACGGGCAAGGGCCAAGTGCTTCCTCCACACCATTTCAATTTATTTTTTTTAAAAAAAAAGGTTACTGAAGTAGGCTGAAGGCAATGCTTGTGGGAGGGTTTTGGGGGTCAGTGTGGGGTTTTTTCCTCTCAAACAGCATTTTCTAACACCTCTTCCCTCTGTTTCTGACTGAGAGGATTTGGTGCCAATACAGGCAGGGGCACGCCAGCTGTCTCCACAAGCACTGCTGGAGAGGCAAGCTGAAGTGGGGACACGAGGCACTGCTGCCATCCGTTTTGCAGGGAGGTTCCTAGGGAAGTTTCCCTCAGGTAGAGAGCAGTGGCCCTGGCAAGGTTGTGGAGCAGGTGCTTGCGTGTCTTGCTGCCCTTGCCCGCATGCTTGCTGAAGTGTGGGCAGGCAGCAGGGAGGATCTGGGCTGGACAGACTGGGACTGCACCCACCAGAGAAGCCAGTTATTCCAGGTATGGCTCACAGTGGGATGGAAACAGAACAATCCTATACACAGCATTGAAATGCAAAGGAGAAAGGAAAAATCTCCACTCATACAATCAAGACAAGGGCAGAGAACACAGAATTATTCTGGTTAGAAAATACCTTTAAGGTCATTGGGTCCAGCCATAACTCAACTCTACTAACTCTAGTGCTAAACTGTATTCCTAAACACCACATCTACACATCTTTTAAACACTTCCAGAGGTGGTGATCCAACCACCTCCCTGGGCAGACCATTCCAGTGTTTAATTATCCTTTCAGTGAAGAAGTTTCTTCTAATATCCAATCTAAACCACCCCTGGTGCAACTTGAGACTACTTCCTCTTGTTCTATTGCTGGTTACTTGGGAGAAGATACCCACGCTCACCTGGCTACAACCTCCTTTCAGGTAGTTGTAGAGAGCAATAAGGTTTCCCCTCAGCCTCCTTTCTCCAGGCTAAACAACCCCAGTTCCCTCAGACATTTCTCACAGGACTTGTGCTCTAGGTTCTTCACCATCTTTGTTGCCCTTCCCTGGACACGCTCCAGCCCCTCCATGTCCTTCTTGCAGTGAGGGGCCCAGAACTGAACACAGTGCTCGGGATGCAGCCTCACCAGTGCCAAGCACAGGGGAACAATCACTTCCCTGGTCCTGCTGGGCACACTACTTCTGATACAAGCCTGGATGCTGCTGGCCCTCTTGGCACACTGCTGGCTCATATTCAGTACAACCCAGGATCTTGAGGTGTTAGGACTCACTGCTCCTTTGCCAAGCAAGCTCAGCCTCCAGAAGAACAGTTGGCACTTTGGACACCTGGACAAGCTTGCAAAGCACTTGTGCAAGCAGACAAGGACAAAGCTGAGCAGAGCAGTGTCCTGGATAAGGTAAACAGGGTAAACAATAAGAATTCCGAAGAGCCAAGGAATTAAGTGCCTGGTCCTGCTCTAGAAGTGATGGATATGAATCTCTGAAAGCACAGGGAAGAGCTGGCTGCTTTCCAGAAAGCCCTTCTGAGCAGTGAAACCATCACACTCCTGGCAGGGGCTTGCTGCCCCCTGTGGAGTCATCACAACATGATGCAATACTGCCCACCAGACTTCTTCAGGTAGGCAGCCTCTCTGAAAGGCTCCTCCTGCAGGCTACTTGGGAAGCAGAAAGCTGCATTTCTCCTTTTACAGTGGGAAAGAGGAGAGCATTTGTCATCCTTTATAGTCTTCATGGCACACGAAGGAGTGGTGTAGGCACTGCAGGGTGCTTTTTTTGTGAAACAGAGCCTGCTCAAGCTCTCAATGTTTATGTTGGCTCACAAATACTTTTTTTTTTTTTTTTTTTAAGTTGAAACTGTTACACTTTCTTCAGCCGCAGTTAATGCAGTTCAAAAGCTTCCTGGCAGACAATAAGCTGTGAAGGAATCTCCTCAATGGTTAGAGCAAGTAAAGGACTCAAGTTCCCATTCCCATCACCCTGGGACAGAGCTTGAGTTAATTGTTTAACTTTGGATTTAACTTCCCAGGAAAACATAACTTGTTTTCCTCATTTTGTTAGTGTCCAAAATCTTAGCAACAGCACAGACACATTAGTATTGTACCTACTTTACAGGGTGATTTGAAACTCACATAATGCTTTTTACCAAGACCCAAAAGCTTGAGAGGGGAAAAATTACATAAGCATGCTTATTATTGTAAAAGCAGGCTTTGGTAGGGGTAACAGCTTAATGGGGACAAAAAATATCCTCAGGTTCAGGCTCCAAGTACAGCTTGAACACTGCATCATCCACCATGTTTCACTCTTCTTTGAAAAGGAAACTGAACTGTGCACTGCAATTTATTTTTTTATGTGACATCACAGACATTTGATGCTATGACCCTGAAGGACATGAACTGTCATTTTTAAAACACCTCTGTGCTCTACTCTGGATAAGCAACCAAAGAAACATTTATTTTTAACCTTATTGTTCCAGACCAAGTATCTGAACTCCGTTTCTAGGTGCACAGATATGATACGCAAGGAATAAAGTCACTAAAATTGCTTACAGTTACACCAGATGTAGGGTCAGCAAACAAAAACCCAAGGACTGGATGTGAAGGTCAGTAAGATTATGTATCAGTAGTACTTAGCACTTGTTCTGCTGTGCTAGCTAGAGAAAGTATGGCAATTATAGAAGAATCTGGCATGGAAAAACTTCTTAAATTACTAACCTGACAGGGTCAAAAAAGTTGTAGAGTGATCCATGTGGTGCGTAGGCACTGGGATAAGAAGTAGACATAAAATACAGCTCACCTAAATGGAAATGATGGCTTTGTCTCCTCCTAAATCCTTGTGCACCCCCAGCCTGGTACCACACTGGCAGGGTGGTGTGAGGAGCAGAAGAGATCTTGGTTCCGTGTAAGACCTGCTCAGCAATATCAAAAACATCCCTGTGTTACCAACCAGTTTCCAGCACAAATCCAAACCACAGGCTAACACAAGCTCCTATCAAAAAAATTAACTCTATCCCAGCCAAAACCAACATAAAAACTGGATTTTTTAGCTTCACTGGAAAAATGGAACTATAGTCCAGTGAATACTAACATGTAATAATCTGTAAGAAACTTCTTCCTTACCCAAAGAGGAATTGTGGCAGAGCCGTGTCATAACATTCAAATCCCTCCTTCCCTCTCCAGCCATGTTTCACTCCTTTAACAATGATGTTGATTTCTTCAAATCTGTTCTGCCCAACATCCCCACAGAAATCCTCCCTCTTCCCTTTTTGGGGACAGGGTCCCCTCTGTCAACCGCACAGCGCCACGTATTCCTGACCCCATAAGGTCCCTGGAAGGTTAGATCCTGGGTCCTCTTTCATTTCTAGTTTCATTTCTAGTTCGCTGTGTTTCCTTCAACCAACCTGTCTCAGGTAGCTTCATAGCAGACCAGTCACACACCTGAACAAGGGTGACTGGGAATGAGAAGATTCTGCAGTTCTGCAAGGGCAAAGGACAGAGAAGAAATTATTTATGTATAAAATAGCATTCAACATTAATTTTACCTTTCCAAACGTGGATTAGCTTTGCTGACATCAGATGCCAAAATCTTCAATTCACTTATCCTTATCTTTTCTACTCGCTTCTTATCCATGTATGAGTAATAGACATAAAACTTCCCATTGTACTTGTACTTGGGGTGGAAAGCCATCCCCAGAAAGCCTCTCTCATCCCCTCTCCATGGCATAGCCAGCACTATAATTTTAATATCCAGAAAGGCCTCCTCCAGCCATCTGCCATCAGGTAGCTAGACCCAGATTACTCCCACCTTCTCAGCTATGAATATGCGGTGAGTGTCACCATTTGCAAGCACCATGACCGCTGGGTTCCTCAAGCCATTGGCAACCTCTGTCAGACACAGCTGGAGGCAGCCTGCACGGTCCTCAAGCACCAAGCCCAGGCTGCAGTTGAGGGCTGTGTTCTTCAGCACATTTGGGAAGCAGTAGTCCTCATCATGTAGGTGAAGGAGGTTGCAAAAAACACGTCTTGTTTGTCTTGCGTTCTTGGATGTGCTTATTGCTCATCAGGAGGTTGATGGCAGAGTGGCAGCTGAAGTGAGACTCAGAGCAGTAGTCAAAACAAAGTCCTGGGAGTTTTTATAGAGTGTGTGCATTCAGCAATCAAGTCAGGCCTCAGATTAAAGCTGTCTTTAAAAGCATGTTGCTTTGCCTGCACTAGCTCCTATCCCATGCTAATAGCGTGGCTTTTAATCAGCTTGAACAAGGCTTAATTGTCCATTTTGGTGTTTTAAGCCTCTCCTGCAGCAGTTCCGCATAGAGACACATCCTCTCAGCCAGGAGCCAAACAGCTGCATGTGGCAAGGTTTGCATCCAGGGAATTTTTATACCCAGGCAAATTCCACAGCACTTCCTTAAGAATATTACAGGCAGTTTTCATAGTTCCATATTGAATTTTTAAGCTAAATCCTAGAACAGGTAAGCTGAGGGTCAGACTTTTAACATCCAAATGCTTAGAACAAGTGTAGCTAGCAAAACCAGACCCAGATCTTGCCAGATGCAAACTGAAGCAGATCTACCTGCAGAGACAGATTGTTTTTGATGCCTCTTCTAGCCTGTTGGTTTTCAAGAGAAACTTACCTGGTTTAAAGTGAGAGTAGGAAATCCACGGTCCAGAACACCTACCATCTAATCATCTTCTATCTGTTAAGAAACACACAGCTTCACTGCCAAGGAGGGGTGCACTCTATGGCATCCTTGGGCTCTGTGGGACCAGCGAGACTGCTGCAGTCACCAAACCCAGTTTCCTCTGGGTAACCCCCAGCACAGGACTCATCAACCTACCAGGTAGGTGGGGGAGGGAGAAAGAAAAGAATTAAAAAAAAAAAAATGTTGTCAATTTTTTACTGAAAGAACAACTAACTGAATAAGCTGTTTTTTTTACAACTTACCACTACTACTCTGAGCTCCCCAAAGGTGTGAAATAATGATGGTTTTGCTAGATTAGAGTGACCACTCATAATTTAGGTTTATCAATAAGCACCTACACCCCTTTCTAGAAATTTGTTTTGTTCAAAAAAGAGAAAAGCTAGAAATACTGCTTTGTCTATAATTTCTTCTGAGCCTAATCTTTACATTCCAAGTTCCATACAAACGTTTTCAATAAAAGTACTTGTTACCAGCAGCAGTTTAGCTGA